ATATCAAGCCCTCAAAAAGCCGCCTCTTTAAATTATAAGTCTACCTGTAATTTGGTTAATTTCGACCGAAATGCCCACTTGAGCTGCTGATGTGGAATTAGTCCAGCTCACTCTTATTTTTTTTACACATTTGAATAATATTTGCGTCAAATTGGCTAACAAATGAGGGTTGCGGGGCTGCTGCCAGGGGATTACATTACCTGCCATTTCCTGAATGTAACGCAAAATAAGCTCCCTGAAACCTTGCGCTATTGGACAATGTTCCACATCTTTTACAAGCTTTAGCAATTCTCGGCCAAGAAAGACGGAGTGTTCTGTGCTGGGTGAGGGAAAATAAGGCTGCCAAGAGCTATAGGTATTTGGAAGAGTCACTCAAGATTAAATGAAACTTGTTTTCAGGGCAATTAACAGGCTGCCTGCTGAGCTGGAAGGACATCGGTCTTCTAAAGATAGGAAAGGAAGGCTCTTTCCCTCAAGGAGAAATCCTTCACTGGACTCAAGTCCGCTCTCACCCGAATATCAGTAGGCAGAAATACAGAGAGGGCAATCTAAATACTTGTACAATGCCCAGGAGACAATCAGATTAGCTGGAACAGCAGAAGGTATTTGCCAAAGATGGTGAAAGATAAAATCATTGCCCAAGACTGGGAGGGGGGATCACAGATGCAGAAACAGAGCAGACCCTGGACATTTTGCTGCCGGAGGCAGAGCGGAAAACGACAGGCCCCTCACCAACACCCAAGTCACAAGCTATTGTACCTAAGGCTCAGCAACTTATTCTGGAACCAGAGGTAGAAACATAGAAACTGAGTGAGTCGGAAGGGGTCTCCTGGGCCATCTAGTCTGACCCCTGGCTCCAGCTGGCTCCAGCCGGCTCCCACGAGTACCACTCTTGCTGGCAATTTAAATACCCAAATAACAAATTAGCTGCCTTTGGGTGAGGCTGAACATCAGCTGCCTTGATAGCCGCTCATTCTGCCCAACGGCAGGGCCATTACTTAGGAGGCTTCAGTGGAGGCAGCCTATCCTCAGCTGTGAAAGTTTCTCCATCCAAACCTGAGTTCTGCTTACCAATATTCCAAGACCTATAAAGCTGGGCTAATGCTGTTGAAAAGCAGGCCTAGTGCAGTTGGTTTTTTTTAGCATGCTAAAGGCATTTTTATTGTTTTTCTTTTAGAAAGCACACATCGGCACCAGTTTTTATAAGCACAAAGTTCGTATAATGAGCAGCTTGAGGGGAAGCTGCTCAGAAGGAAGAACCAAAGGCAGGCGTCTCCCCAGCAAAGCTCAGGGAGGGGGCTCTGGCTTCCACCTCTCCCACAGGAGAGGCGAACCAAGCACTCTGGAATTTAAATTAATTTTACAGGGCCATTTTATATTGGCTTTGTAAATTTCAAGCATCCCTCCCAGTCTACCAGAGGTGACGGAATATAAATTGAAACAAATAAAAGAGACAGTCCAGAAATGCTTAGTTGTTACCAGTATGATAAAACATGCTGCACTTGCTCACAGAGCACTTTGAGGCCATCCTGTGCATGCTGAGTCCGAAGAAAAGCCCCACCGCTCGCGCATGCCCCAACAAGCTCTGCCCAAACACACAGCTGGAGCGTGCTGGGAGTGGGAGGGCTTTTCTTCAGCCTAAGCCTGCATAGATAGGGGTTGTGCTGTCAGTCATACTTCACACAGATGCACCGAATCAATGGATTATAGCAGGAGCAAGGCTCATGAGCCGTGTGCCTGTTTTGCGGCTCGTAGAGGGGCTGAAATGCAGCAAGGAGGAATTCTGCTTGGGGCCAAGGGAAGAGGAGCAGATGGGGGCAGCTTCCGGATGAGCCACTGCGCGAGCCGGGCGGCCACCGTTCTCCAATCCTCAACCAGCTGCAGGGATGTTTGCGACTGGGCAACCGGGCGCCAGCCTGGGCCAACGGAAGCAAGGTGTGCGCGCGAGGAGGGAGGACAAAACTGAGAGGCAGAACGGTGCATGCTGCCACTGTGGCAGTTCCACCTTTGCAGAGGTCATTATAGAAATGGTGCGGACTGCGGTGGGCTGCAGCGGGACTGGCAGGGCCGACTGGAAAGGCAAATGCTCGCTTCCTTGTGTTTCAAGATGGCCAGGAGGCTCCACAGAGGCGGACTGGATGCTGCCATTCGGCTTAGGCCAACTCAGAGGGCCCCTGTGAAGCTAAAATGGTGGCTCACTGTTCATGTGCACTGTCCTGAGGTTTTTTTTTTTAAGGGCAACACACCTGTTACCTATAATTGGTAAAGAGCCTCTTCTTATTAGACAAGCTGATTGGGTGCCTTGGTATTCCTTGGTTTGGAAAAGGGTTAGTTGTGGATAATATCTTTGCAACAAGTAAGCTTTTGCATCTTATCTGCAATTTATCACTTGTAGCGATGTCTGTTTGGTCGTAATAAATAGGTGCATATCTGTTCATGTCTTGCGGCTCTCATACCTCTGCCATTTACCATACGTGGCTTCTCTGCTGAACATGTCTGTCCACCCCTGGACTAGAGCTTAGAGGAAGTGGCGGGGGCCGCGAGCACCTGTGGCTTCAAAAAAGGCTAAACACTTTTGAAGGGGCTCTTTGCTATGCTAGCCAGGAAAATCGTCCCCCTGTCCAGAGACAGCAACCTTCTAATGCAGGATGCAGCAAACAGGCAATAGGGAAAGGCTGCCGCCTTCTGCCCTCCTCATGAGCTTCCCAGACACCATCGGTGGATCACTGCTGGGAAATGAATGGTGGGTGGCATAAAAATGTTTTAATAATAAATAATAATAAAAATAATAATGGTCCTTGCAGCTGACAGAGCAGGGCAGGCTGTTATGCTGACCTTGGTTTTGTTTTGCTAAAATTGTACATGGTATCTAAAAAATGGTTCAGGACTGCTTCCTTGGCTTCAGGATCGTGATGCTGAAGTTGGAGAATGCCAGCCTGAAAGCATGCTGTAGAGCTCCGATACAGGATATGGGAAAATTGTAGCACAGGAGCTGCTGTTTGCCAAACCATCCCCGCCACGCTGCTCTGCACCAGTGATACACCAAGCTGGAGAACGTATTCATTTTATGAGTCATTCAGTCCTTGGGGTGATTATTGCATGTGCCAAAGGCACGCGTGCAGTTGTGGCTTTCCGCTCAGGAGACGCGATACCACAAGACGGGCCGAGACCGAAATCCAGCTTCCGCAGACCACCCATGGAATGGACAAATTGGGAATATCTAAGAATTATTCCTGCTGCCACCAACCTAGACATCAAACCCCGAAGGAGTAACTGGCACATTCCTCAGAGGTTGCACATTCTGCAATGACTAAAGGGTACTGCTATGCAAAAGCAGCTACTCCCAATATTTGGAACTGAAGTCATCTCTGCTGGACTATAATCAGTGGACAGACACAGGATGAGAACGCATTTAACGAGGTGCTGCAATACTATAATAGATTCAAGCAAATGTTGAAAAGGAGTAAATATTATCAAACTTTTCCTTAAAGAGAGTGATTCTTCCTCAACAGATCCTCATCCTTCAACCCCTTATGTTCTACCTGCCTCATTTTACTATAGCCAAACTTCCAATTTCATTTATTTATTTCTAGGCTGCCTATAACTGCTGAGGCCTTCCTGATATTATAGGTAGTGGAGATATTATAGGTCATGTTAACTAATCTACTGGTATAGTTTATGCTCAGTTAAACACGTGATACATTTTAAATGAACTGTTCTCATTGGGTCATTGATGTTACATCGTAAAATTGTTATAATTATTGTTAGTGTTGGTGGGTCTTTGAACCACTTTGAGCAAAATCCGTGGAAAAGGCTAACAATGGCTACTCGTCCCAATGGCCATTTGACAGCTCCAGCATCATATGTAGCATCTTCTCCGGCTTATGGTGACCCCATGAAAGAAGGCGCTCCAAAATGTCCCATTCATGACAGCCCCGCTCAGCTCTTGTAATTTCAAGGCTGTGGCTCTCTATGCAATCAAGCTGCCTCATTTTTGGACTGCCTTTCCTCCTTCTGCCTTCGATTTAATCTTTCTGCCTTTCCAGTTTTTGGGGTGGCATGCCTAAGTGAACCAGTCGCTGGAGAACATGGGCAGGAAAGTCTTGTTGCACTTATGCTCGTGATTTCCCGTCGGCAGCTGACTGCGCTCTGTATGAACAAAATACTGGACTAAATGGATCCCTAGGTCTGATCCGACGGGAGGAAAGTGTGGGACACACATATAAGTCAATCTGTAATGCACCACTTCAGTTTTCAAAGAACAACCATGGTTTACTGCTGGACTAACTCTGGGCTATGTATCCTTGAAGAATCTAAAGTTTCCAAGTCCGTATGTTACAAGACAACCCAGGAATAGGGCGATCACGGGTTAATGAAAAGTGGAAATGGGTGGCACGCTCCACTTGCAATTCTGGGGTTAAACAACCCCGGAAATACTCAGTATGACGTGCAAACTGAGTCACCGTCCAGGCACGGGACTCTGGTGCGCTCACTCCCAAGTCCCAGAGCTGTTCACTCGTACCCTAGGGATGGAGCTACATGAACAGGAATCAATACATCCGCAGTGGCGATCTTGGCCTCACCCAGACACCGCTCCTGATCGTGTGCCTGCTCTACACCCGCCCCTGTCCCTGCCACTCCAGCCTTCCTCTCCCATCCCCTTCCGCGCAGGGGACGCTGCACCGCCCCCGCCCCCTTTTAGGGGAAAAGGCCCGCTGCCCCTTCTTGCCCCCGCCCCACGTGTAGGGGGGTGGCTTCTTCCCTCCGGTCCTCCGACTCCTGCCATCCGCTCCCCCAAGCACGGATTCCCCGGTCGACCCCCGCCCTCCGTTCTGCGCTCTGCCTCGGCCCCCTTCCCCGGACACCCCCGACCCAATTCCCCCGCCCTCCCCCACGACCCCGCCCGGCCAGCCGCCCCTCCCCCAGGCTTTCCTTGCGCTCCCCGCGCCCCGCGGCCCGAGGCCGGCCCGCTCCGCGCAGCTCCCCGCAGGCGCCGGTACCTTGAGGGTGACGTCGCAGAGCTTGCCCTGCCGGCGGATCTCGCCCATCACGCCGTAGCCCCGGCTGGGCAGGTCCCCCACCGAGAAGTGCACCAGGTCCTCCGGGTCCAGCTCCGGGTCCGGCCCGGCCGCTTCCAACATCTTGCCCCTCGCCCGCCCGCCCGCGCCTCGCCCGCCAAGCCCGGGCCGGCCGGGTCTGGCGCTCTCCGTCCCTCAGGCCGCCCGCCCGTCCCCTCGCAGCGGCAGCGCTTCGCTCCCGGCGCCGCTGGGCCCCGCCCGGCCACCGTAAGCGGACCAGCCCGCCCACTTGCGCAGCCGCCGGAAGCGGAATCCCCTCCTTCCTTCTCCCCTCCCCCTCCCCACTGGTCGCGCAGTCCTCTGCTGCCCCCTACTCGAGGCCGTAGTTAGAGGCCCCGGAGGAAGTGGCGGCGGCCATGGCAACGGCGGACGCAGGAAGTGGCGGCGGCGGCCATGGCAACGGCGTGCTTCGAGCGCCACCTGCGCATGCGCGCGCCGCTGTTCCCTCAGGAGCTGCGCTGGTTAGTCCGTCAGGCGCGCTCTGTCCACTGTCTTGCTGGTGGCCGAAGCGGGAGCGGCCTCGCAGGTCAGTGCCTGCGAGGAACATGCCCCTTTCCTCCTCCTCCTCCTCCTGCCCCGCATATTGCTTCTGTCAGATTCAGCTCGTACAATGGAGCCCTGCCGGGCCGGAGCCTACTTCTGTTCTCCCCAGCATTCTGTCTCCAACAGCGGACAGCCAGAGCCCCGACTGGGAGGCTCCCGAGCTGAGCGGAGGGACGGGTTGCTCTCTGACTTCTTGTAGATACACAAGACACAAGTGGGGCCGGCAGGGAGGAGGTAGTGGTCCAGCCACGGAACATGGTATCAGTGCTTCTGCTTCAATGCAGGAGCAACCTGCCGTTGTGGACCCCTTGCTGGGGAACGTGGGTAGGCGGGTGCCGCAGGAGCAGCAGGTTGGCCTCTGTGTGAACAGAAGGCTGGATGAGGTGGACCTGGGTGTGATCCAGCCTCAGGGCTCTCCTAAGCTTGTAGCGGCCGATGTTAAAAGATGTCAGAACCTGGGGATTGTAGTTTTGGGAGAACGGAGTTAATATACCCCATCTTCCCTTCAGATTAGTTGAGATTCTTTGTGGGAAAACTAGGTCTAGCAGAACTAGATTATGCCTTAGATATCTTTGCCACCCTACAAGGAATCTCAAGTTATTCTCTTTCTGTGTGGGATACTAACAGAAATCTCCCACAACTAATACCCTTCTGTGATATCAAGAAGGCAAATTTGTGTTCCCACCAATCCTATTCATGCATCTGAAAAAAGTTAGTCCTAAATTAGTCCTCCTCCTAGACAAGTAAATATACCTTTTGTATGCCAAATACTGGGATCAGGTGGCTGTTCACTCCTAATCTAGAAGCAATAGCAATAATCCTTTTGTAACAATTTACCCTTTTAAAAAGCTCAAACTCTGTTGTGAATTGGCCCCTTAGGGAATGCCCTTTCTCATCCTGATTTTTCATTTATTTCCCCCAAGAATCCCCCATCATGTGTGCCAATGCAAAGAGAGTGACTGCATTTGCTCGAGTCAAGCCCACAGCTGAATTTCCTCAAGACATGATCAAGATTGGGGCAGACAATAAGGTAACAACACAGGAGGCAGCAGGAATGAGAGAGTTCTGGTTTTGTTGTGAGCTGCTTTTCCTATTGCTTCATCTTTGTTTCAACATTAGTTGTGCGTGGCTTTGAATTAATTTCTTTTTTAGACTATAGAGGTGTACATTGAGAAAGACTGCTCAGAAGGTGTTGTCAACAACAAGCAGACAGACTGGTCTTTTAAACTGGACGGCATTCTTCATAATGCATCTCAGGATGTAGTTTATGATGCAGTAGCCAGAGACCTGGTGTCCCGAGGACTAAATGGATATAACGGTAAATGCTCTTACCATTACTTTCGCAGTGTTCACTTTCCATCTTAGCAGAAGCACTCTGTGTGTGTGTGTGTGTGTGTGACCTGAGTGCTGCACAAGGACACTCCTCATACGACTATCTTTGTCTGGGAGTTGTGTGTGAGTCTGATTGTCCAGTCTGTTCTACATACATTGCTGCTACTGCTGGGTCACTTGGAGGCAAAATGTGGGGCTGGGGGCAAAGGATTACGTAGGATTAAAAGCATTCTGGCAACACAGCTATAACTCGGCGGATTCAGGACTGGCTGATGGACTTACACCTAAAGTGTGTGCGTCAGTGGAGCCTTTCCAACCTGGTGAGAAGAACAACAAGTCGGAAATCCCCTGAAGCTTGTTACTGAGCTTCTTCATAAATGTTCTGAAGCCGATCAGACTTGCAGGTGACCACAGACTGCATTCTAACAGAGATAAACGTGGAGTCCTGGATTTATGTAGGGAAAGTCAGGCGCCTCGATGCTGACTGGATGGCCCCAGGTTTGACCAGGGAACAAGGTGAAAAGGGTGTGGGAGGCGGTTTGCAGGCCAGAGATGAAATGTGGCTCAGGGACATACGATTGGCCGCCACAAGAGCCGGTGCGATTCCGCACTTGGAGGTCCAGTGGCCAGATCACAAGAAGTAGCAGTTCCATGAGTTCTGCTTGAGCCAAACCTGTGTCCGGTTCTGGCATCTTCGGTGGAAGGTTATTGACAGCCTTGAGCGTGTCTAGAAGAGGCGGGTGAGGACAGTGGCCCAGAGACCAAGTCTTAGGAGGAAGCTGAAGAACCTGGGTGCCTTTAGCACCCAACCTATGGAATTCACTCCCCAAAGAGGTCTGCCTGGCACCGTCGTTACTGGTTTTTCGGCGCCAGGTAAAGACCTTTTTATTTAAACATCATTTTAATTGTTAAAATATATGATCTGGCCAGGGCAACTTCTTCTTCCTTCTCTTTTCTCCTCCTATATGCTTTATTTACTTATTTTATACTGATAATTTTAATTTTATATTATTATGTTTGTAACTCAGTGTATTTTTTGTATTTTTGTATTTAATGGTAATTTATTATGTTCTACTGTATTTCAATGTATTTTATTGTGTTGTAAGCTGCCCCGAGGCTTCAGCAAGGGGCGGCATAGAAATGTTATAATAATAATAATAATAATAATAATAATAATAATAATGAATTGCTTGAGAGTGCAGTCCTCTGCACGTGGAGGCGGGCAAAGACCTACAACATCCAGCATTCCCCTCTCCTTTCCTGTTTGTATCTTCCTTCTTGTTTCGGTAACAAAAATCTTGAAATGATTGAATAGAAACTCTTGGTTTAAAAAGTCAGCCAGTCCATTGGCTGGAAGCAATATGTTCCATCCACCCCCCTTAATAATCAAGGTGCAGGTCCTATGCAAGTGTAGACAGAAAAATGTCCTGCAATTTCCAGCATGCTATGAGTGGCAGGACCCTTTTCCTGTCTGAACTCGCGTGAGAGCGCATCCTTAATCTTTTAATGGGAAGGTGCCACTGCTGTCCAAGGCACATTCAGTGTTGTGGTGGAAAGCAGCTCCTAGCATGGAGCACCAAAAAGCAAAATAACGCGGTCCTGATGAGACGGTTGCCAGCCGAAAGAAAGAGGCTCGTTTTGAGGAGCTTTGGGGGCAAGGCCTGAGTCCGTGTTTGTGCTGCAACATTTCTAGGCACGATAATATGCTACGGGCAAACTGGAGCGGGCAAGACCTTCACCATGACAGGAACAACGGGAGACTACAAGCACCGCGGGATCATACCCCGGGCGATACAGCAGGTACTGCAGATCATCCTGCAACGATGTGGAGGAGGAGGCCGAACGGGTCACGCAGGCGGGACCGTTCCTACCACGACTGCTGCCATGAATAAGTTCATTTCTCTACGAAATCATTTTCATTTCTCTTTCCCAACAGCAAAAGCTCTCCAGATGGTTCACAAAAAATTACAAGTTAAAATACCAGATAATAAGAACAAGCTAAAGCATTTACCTAGAAAATGTAGAACAGCTGAGAGCAGCTGCAGTAAAATAGTGGGCCTGATTTTAAAAAACAGCTGCAGTTTTGATGTGGCATTGCCGCAAGACAGCCTTGGCGCCAGGTGGATCTCGCAGGGAAAAACATTCCACAATTACGGGGCTACCACTGAGAAGGCCTCTGCCTTGTTGCCACCTACCAAGCCTCCCTCACTTGGAAGAGGCGCTCAGAGGAGGGCATCCGGTGCTGTCCGTAGCATTCAGGGGGGTCTGTGTGGGGAGAGGCCCGGCTGCGTCACTGTGGCCCTGAGCCCTTCCTTTTGAGCAGGAAGGACCAGGGGTCACGTTTGCTCCCCGGACTCCTCTCCTTATGTGTGGCACCTTCGCCACATCCTGATGCAGTGTCATGTTGTGCTATGTGCTTTGTTAAGCTGTTTCCAGATAAAATTGGAGCGTTCAGCGTTTGGCCTACCGCAGGGGGGCAAAAAGGCCTCAGCGTAGCTGCTCAACATTTCTTTTCAATTTTAGGGGACTGTGGGTTGAGCTGGCCAGATTGGGGAACTCTTTTGTGCAAATCCCATTTATTCATTGTGCGAGCAAACTTCGCAGTGGATTGCTCTCCTGGTTGGCTGGATCTTCTCCCTACTTCATAAAACACAGGTCACTTCAAATCATAGAACAGTGAGTTGGAAGAGGCATAGAAACATAGAAACAGCGCGAGTCAGAAGGGGTCTCCTGGGCCATCTAGTCTGAGCTCCAGCACCAGCCGGCTCCGCTCACAACATGCCCACCATGTGGACGTCCAGCCTATCCTTGAACACCCTCACCAATGGGGCCTCAACGACCTCTCGTGGAAGCCCATTCCACACCCTCGGGGTCCCGACTGTCAGGAAGTGCTTCCTGGCATCCAGATTGAACCTTGGCTCCCTGAGCTTGGCTCCCTTGGAGCGTGTCCTGCCTTCCTCTGCAGGGGAGAACAGGTCTCCACCCACCTCCGTGTGACACCCCCTCACCTACCTGCATGTCGACAACATATCCCCTCCGAGTCTCCTCTTCTCCAGACTGAAGAGACCGAGCTCCCTCAGTCTCGCCTCATACGGCATCCCCTGCAAAACGGCCACCAACCTTGTGGCCCTATGCTGTACTGACTCCAACCTGGCTATATCCTTCCTGTAACGTGGGGCCCAGAACTGAGCACAAGACTCCAGTTGCGGGCACACCAGAGTCGTGTAGAGTGGCAGTAATACCTCTCTCGATCTAGAAGCCACGCTTCTGGCTCTGTAACCAAGGCCTCCAATGCCAGCCAGTCCAAGCGCCTGCTCAGTGCAGGGCTCCAGGTTCAGCCATCCCTCTCAGATGGCTGTCCAGTGGCATCTTGAATCTCCCAATGCAGGAGAACCCACAACCTTCCTAGGTCATTTGTTCCATTATCTTACTGCTCTAACAGTCAGGAAAATTTTCCTGATGTTTATCTGGAATCTGGTTTCCTGGGACTTGGACCCAGTATTCCATGTCCTGCACTCCGGCGCAACTCAAAAGGAATCTTGGCCCTCCTCCGTGTGACAGTTGTTCAAGTACCTGAGAAGCCTCCCCTCAGTCTTCCCTTCTCAAGGCTAAGCCTGCCCAGCTCTTTCTGTTCTTTCAGTCTCTCCTCAACTTACCTGTTAAATTCCTGAAGCAGATTCTCTTGAGACGCAGCCAAATGTCTTTACAGGTATTCAAGTCCATGGAAGAACATGGTAGTCAGTTCATCACTGTTCAGATTTCTTACCTGGAGATCCACAACGAGAACATCTTCGATCTCTTATCTACAACACCCCCGGACACTGCCAACAACACACCTCTCTATGTCGTGGAGGACCCCCAGGGGGTCTCCGTCAAAGGCCTAACGAGGCACGCTGCCACCACCGAAGAAGTTGCTTTAAATCTCCTGTTTGAGGTACGAAGAATGAAGAATGGGTGAGGCCTCCATGTTCTCTTTGCTTTTGCCAGGAAGGGTTCTGGGCAGGGCGGCTGGAGTCAGTGGAAGCTGGAGTCCAGAATATTTGCCCGGTACTCGACTGGAGGAGGTTGGCTGTGGTGCTCCTATCTTGCCCTCCCTGTTGTCGAACATCTGCATGACCCTGCCAGCTGAGGCCGTTCAGAGTTTGGGGGTTCAGCGTCGCGCACCCCCAGATGCCATCCAACTCTGTCATGCCACGCCATTCCAGGGAGGCCGCCAAGGTCCAGAACCACTACCTGGAAATATGTGTGGGCGAGCAAATTGAAACTGGATCCCGACAAGGCAACGTCCAGGAATTGGGGTTTTCAGTCTGTTCCTACCTGTTGAATTTGAGACACACATTTATGCCGCCGCATTGCATTCGGCTGCTTTTGTGTGTTTCCGTTACACTGTAAATGGGAAGGATGTTCCTAATAGTTAAATTAGTGAATGTATGGCAAGCTGCCTTAATCTCCTTTGAGGTAAAGCAGGTATAAATGTTGTAAAATACAATGAATCCACATGTGGGGAGTGAGAGTAAGAAAGTCCATTTCACCTGGAACCACGGCTTCTGAATTTGTAGAAATTCCCCCACTTAAACCCTGGGAGTGCAGCCATTTTGGGACCGGGGGAAGGATGACACCCCTGGGCCAAGCCTGTGGGCAGGATGGCATCATCTCCCCAAAGCCCCTCAGAGGATCATAGAACAGCAGCGTTGGAAGGGGCCAAGAAGGCCAGTGGGCCCAACCCCATGCTGTTGCAGGACGCCAGTCCACGCCATCCCTCTCGGATGACCGTCTGGTTTCGCCTTGAATGCCCCTAGAGCCCATGACCCCTCCAGGCAGCTGGTCCCACTGCCATGTTGCTCTGACAATGAGGACACTTTTCCCGATATCTAGAATAGCTAGATCATTCGAACTCTCGTTACATCATCCAGCCCTCCCCAGAGGTGAGAATCCTGCCTCAGTCACCACTTGAGGCCAGCGGGGGCTTTACTGCCACGTGAATCCCCTGCAAGAAGGGATTCCTGTTTGCACTGCTCGCCCTCTGAAGGGCATCCCTCTCCCCATTTGGTGGGGCCTTGGGAAGGGTGCGCAATACTCCACAGGCTGGATTGGGCCTCAGCATGCGCTGGATGGGATCTGTGGTCCAAAGGGCGCTTCCCCTACCTCACAGTGTGAAAACTCCCGAGTTGCTTGGCTGCCAGAGAAAGGCCCCCTTGCCTTCCAAGGCCTTTTAGTCTGTGTCAGCCTGATGATCTTCCCCGCCCCTGCTCTTTATGCTCCTCTGTGCCGTGTGGGCATTTTATTGTTATGTGCCATATCATCCACGTTTGTACGCCTCCCTGAGAATTTTGCTGCAGAGCTGCCTATAGGCTGCCTTTGCTGCAGCACTGCTGCTTAAGTAAATTACATTGCGTTTGGGTAAATGGTTAGCCAGCCCTCTTGGTTGTGTGCTAGGGGTCAGTGGGACGTCCTTTACATGAGCGGCAGCTTGGTGCTTGGTCCTGCGCTCGCAATGCAGAAAATAAACCCTCCTGCACTGGGTTTATGCCTCCGTTTTCTTACTTTCTTCTCTAGGGAGACACCAATAGGTCTGTCGGCCAGCACACGCTGAATAGGCACTCCTCGCGGTCCCACTGTATCTTCACCATTTATATCGAGGTCAGTTCCTCTGGGCTTGCGTGCGGTTATACACCCCTGTGTTTAAAAAGATTCAGAGCAGTGAGCAATAAAAGATAAATAGCATAAAGCATGTTAAAGGTTCTTCGATGAACAATGGCAAGAAAGGCCACGTCTGGTCAGTCCAGGGAAGCGTGCTGAAACGACAGTGCCCGTGCAGGTGGTGCCTGCCTGACGTCTGGGGGGTGGGGGGGGTTCACAGCAGAGGGGCCACCACGCAGAAGACTCTGCTCCAGCTGAACTCCAGCTGTGCCTTAAGCCCAGGCAGACCCACCTGGAGCACTTCACCTGATAACCTTGCTGAGGGGGCAGGGCTTGAGTAGCTGGTCCCAGGTTGTTTAGGGCTTTGCCCACGGGCTGCAAACCAGACACTCGGCTCAGTCGCGAGTACACAGCCTGGGATGGCTGTGCCCCTGCTCCGCTCTGCGCGTGCTCCGGCATCCAGGCTGGCCTCCAACCCCGCGGGGAGAGCCTCGCAGAAATCCGCTCTGGAGAGTCCAGGGCTTGAGCTGCCTTGGCTGCACCGTGCTCCTTCGAGAGGTCAGTTGCTGGCAAGCCAGCCAAAGCTGGTAAAGGCACTCTAGGATGCCAGGGCTGCTTGGGCCTCCGGCACTGCTGACGGACTGGGCAGCAACCCAGGCCACAAACCAGCCCTTTCAGAGCCGCTCATCTGCCGCCATCTTGCCAGGGTTCAGCGTCAGTTGGTTGGCCCCGTCCGGCCCACCCTGAGCCTCAGCATTGACCTGGGACTCACCGTGGCCTGAAAAGTCTCGGGCTCCCACCCGTGGTGGCGCTGCTGTGTGCACTGACATTCCTGCTCCCCCCCTCAGTGCCATTCCAGAATCCTTTCAGATTCCAAGTACGTCACCTCGAAAATTAACCTGGTGGATCTGGCAGGCTCGGAGAGGCTGGCCAAGACCAAGGTGCGTTCACTGGGAGAACCGGAGAGTCGTGCCGGGTGGGAATCGCAGTCCGGCGCTGCTGGAGAGCACCAGGCTGGGGAAGGCTGGATGGAGGGCGGGCGGCAGGATTGGGCCCTCATTTACTCCTCCTGTGGTGCCCAGGTCCTGCCCACATTCTGCTGCTTGTTCCCCCGGCGTGCCTTCACTGGCCAGACAGCTCTGTCGACATCGTCTTCCGACAGCACAAGCAGGCCGTTCCCTGAGAGCATTGTCAAGGGAGGGGTGTGTCTTGCAGAGCCTAAAATGCTTAGCTGCTGAAACACAGGATCTGGGACCGTGTCCTTACTGGCTTTTTCACTTCTGCTGCTGATTGTCAAGGGCTGCCATTCGGTCGTTGTTCTTCAGGCATTATTTGAATGCCATTTTTAATGATTATTTGACTGCACTGCAAGTGCTTAATTAATACATGCACCTGTGTCCTTGTGAGGCATCCTCTTGGTTCCTCCTTTTGACAGTCAGAGGGGTACGGATTGAAAGAAGCCACCTACATCAACAAGTCCCTGTCCTTCTTTGAGCAAGTCGTCCTAGCCTTGTCGGAGCGTGGCCGGGAACACATCCCCTTCCGCCAGAGCAAGCTCACCCACACCCTGAAGGATTCCCTAGGTAAGGGCCTTGGATCGGGGGGCTGGCCAAGGCACTGGGCATGGGGGGAGCCAGGATCAGGCCCTGCGCAGCTCCGTCCTCATCCTTCCTGCGGCTTCACTGCCACGTCGAGCTTGGTTTAGCTCTATGAAATGTCATACGAACTCGAGGAGAGGCCTGCGGCTGGATCAGGCCCAGGGGCCACCTAGTCAAGCTTGCTGTCCCCACACGGCCAACCAGCGGGTCACAGGAAGCTCACGGCCAGGACGAGAGCCCAACACCTGCTGCCCATGTTCCCCAGCAACTCGGTGTGCCTCTGATACCAGCAGCAGCCTTTAGCTGTTGACATTCACATGTATCTGCTCTTCTGTCAAATGGTGCCCAGGACAGAATTCAAAATACCACAATAGAATCCCCACATTACTAAAAGCACTGCAGGACTGTCCTTAGAAGAAAATATTCGCCTCCTGCCAAGCTTAGGAGGTTTAGCAGCAGCACGTGGTATGTTAAAATACCTGCTCCCTTCCCGTATTTATTTACTTAAAATATTTATGCCCCATCTGTAGCAGCAGATTTCTCAAGACGGCTCACAACCAAGGTTACCAAGGCATATGGGATTGTAAAAGGCCTGTTACAAAAGGGCCAGGTGATCCTCTGCCGTTAAAGCCCTGAACAGTGAGAGACAGTGTGTTTACACGAGCATGACTCAAGCGTTCTAGATTATTTCATCCCCTTTCAGACCTGAAAGAGAGCAAAGCTTTTAAAGAAGCAGAAATAACGTGTTTAGCACAACTGAAGCAGAAAACTGCCCTCAAACGGCAGCCGTTTGCTCAGAAATCTGTGCATACTTTTCTGCCTTCTGGCTCAGAGGCTCCCCGTCCCATCCTGTTCCTTCCCTTCCGCCTTTCCTAGGTGGGAACTCCTATACCGTCCTCGTGGGCAACATCTGCAGTGAAGCCGTTCACGTTGTGGAGACGGTAAGTGGCTGGAGCTTTGGGCCTGGGCGAGGCCTCAGTTTGCCCAGAAGCGCTCGCGTGGGATCGTGTAAGGCCTGATCCACACGCACAGCAGGACGCGATGCCGAGCAGACCTGCAGCTGGGTGGCTTTAAAGGGAAGGAGGCAGGTGCATGGAGAGAAGGCTGCTGACGGTGGCGGTCGGTGCTGCCTCTCGTGGCTGGGCAGGCCTGTCGCTGGGAATGTGGCTTCGGCCCTCCCGCCCTGCTTGTGAGCAGCGGCTTGGCCTGGCGGGCGGGCGGGAGGGAGGCACCCCGATTCTGACCCTGCACAGCCCCTCTCCGCTTCACTCCCAGTCGCCCCCCGGGGATGCGTGGCTGCGAGGGCTCCCCCATCTGCCACAGTCACTTTGCCCTTCAAGAGCCTGATGCCGAAAGAGGAAGTGCGGAGCTGCTTGGCGGCCGTCTTCCTGCCCCACAAGAGGAAAGATGGCGGCCACCCCCTGCCTGTGCTGCTCTCAGCTGGAAGGAAGCACTGGGCGACCCCCTCACCCCGGGGGCCGGGCAACGGTTTACTCAGCCCGGGGCTCTGGAATGCATCCCCCTTGCAGGGCGTTCCTGGGCGAGGATTTTCAGCTTGGTCTGCCAAGCACCTCTTCTGCTGCTGGGGGCAGGACCCCGAGCTCACGGGTGGGCGCAGAGAGCCGAACGGCAGCGGGGCTGCTGAAGCGGGGGGTTGCGAGGCCAGAGCAAGCGCAGCGTGGTGACGCGGGCGGCCTTCGTGCCTCTGCAGCTGTCCACGCTCCGCTTCGCTGCCAGGATGAAGTGGGTGACGACGCGGCCGGTCATGAACGAGAAGATCGACTCAGAGGTGTGTGGCGCCTCGGGGCGGGGCTGCCGCCCCTTATGCGGCTGGGAGGGGGTCCTGCTGGCTGGGCCGGGGGGCTGTCCCTGGCCTAGCCCATGGGAGGAGGCGGCCCGGAACGGCCGGCTTGCACGCTTGTCCGGGGAGAGCCAGGCCGAGGGAAGCAGTCCAAGGCATCGTGGGAGATTCCCTGGGTAGGGATGTCAGCGGGCAAGCTGAGGACCCTCTCGCGTTTGTGACGGCTTGCTCACAGCCCGACCCTGCGCATGCCTGCTCGGAAGACCGTTTTGCAGGATCCAAGCGGACTTCTGCCCAGGGAAGTGTGTACCGCACCCCTGTGGAGAAGGCTCCCAGGAGGGCCAGGGCAGGGCTGGACTGGGACGGGGGGTCAGGCGCTGGTCCCCTCGTGGCCACGGAGCTCCCTCTGGCTGGCGTTTGGCTAGTCCCCGAGTCTCAGCCTGGAATACTTCCCATGAAACGGCGGGGGGGGGGGGGGGGACACCCCGTGGGAGGCTGTGGGCTCCTCAGAAGAGAGGCGGCAGGGATGGCTGGGGTGGGGAGGGCCGGAACCAGAGGGCGACCGCAGCGGGAGGGCCCGGGGCTGAGGGCAGTGCCGCTTTGGCCAGCCCGCACGCCCAGCCCAGCCCCTCCCCACCTGATGCTCCCCAGATGTGCTGGACGGCCAAGCCCCGTGATTCCCAGCCAGCACATCTGCACAGCACCTGGTTGGAGAACACAGGTGTGGGTGATCCTCTAGATCATCACTCCAGAATTTCCATTCCCCCTTGTCCGTGGGAGCACAGAATGGTATTTAAAATGACCTAGGGCACCGCAAGGGCTGGAGAAAGCTTCCCAGACTGCAGCGCTCGACATCTGTGACCCGCTCGCGCCAGGAGGGCTTTTTCCCCGCTCTTTTTCTGGGATCTCATCCTACCCTCGGGGGCATGGGGTACCCCCATCAGCAGAGAGAATTCTGGGTGCTGTGAGTGGATGCCTCATGAGTCAATCTTTATTGGTTCTGATGCACACGCTGCCTTTCTGCCAAGAGGAATGGCAGTCGCAGCAGCTTAAATAGTGTTTGAAATTCTTTGTGTGGAAAGCTCCACCCCCACTGCATTCAGGATCAGACAGGTCCGATGGAGAGTGCGGCGTTGGCTGGCTAGTCCTGCCTTGCCGCCCCTCATCTGCCTTGCTAGCCTAGCCCAGCCTTGGGGCCGCACCTCCTAGTGCCCCCATTCCAGTGCCTTGCTGCCCTGCACCCACCAGCTTTCCCTCGGCGCCGCCTGCCCCGGCCATGTGGGGTTCCCGGAGCCAGGGCCCTGCAGCTGCCCGGCAGGCAGCCCTCCCGACAGCACTGTGGGTCTGCGCAGGCAGCTTTTGCAGGAAGTGCCGGATCTGAGTCCCCACAGGCCACAGGCACGTGGCAGGTTGCCTTCTGCGGGGCCAGGCCAGTGCTGGGCTGGATGGCCCTCTGATGGGCAGCAGCGGCCGCCCAGTGCTTCCCGCAGGGTCTTCCTAGTCTGCCTGGAGGGGCTGCCGGGTGTTGAATGAGGTTCTGCTGTTGAGCTCTCATTCCTCGTTCCTCTGCCAAGAGCATAGAGCACAGAAGCTACAACACTTTCAACGGATTTCTTATTTAATGTTGTTTGTACACCATTTTATGTTGGATTACATGTGCCCTTTAAATGTAAACTGCCTAGAGATCTTAGGATACTGAGAAGCATGGAAGTCGTTTGCATGCATCAACAGAGCATGGGAGGGCCACCCCGGGGTCATTTTAGGAGGGGCAGTAAATCTGTGGCCAGCACAGCCGTCTCCTTGCTGTGGGAGGGGGCACAGCAGGCAGGAAGGAAGGTGTGAGAGGGCAGGTGGCTTGAGGGAGTGAGTGCAGCTTCAGGTCTTCCGCTCCGCCCGCCGCCCGCCTGCCCGCCTTTCCTGCGATGTGCTGACACGCTGCTCCTCTCGCTTAGCGGATGGTGAAGAATCTGGAAAAGGAGGTCCTGTACCTGAAGGAGGAGCTGGCAATGCACAACAGCCTGGTAAGGGGGGGGGTCTCTGTAGTGAGGCCTGGCACGGGGGTGGGTGTCCCCACCTGGCCTGCGCTGCCTCCTGAGCCGGGGAGGTCGAGGGTGGGGAGACCCTGACACCAGCCTGCTTTTCCTGGCAGGGCCTGTTTCTGGCCACACAGCCCCCGCAGGGGATCAAGGCCTGGAGAAGTACCCGGGAGAGGGGAACAGAGAGGCAGGGGCCAAGCAGTGCGAATGCTTGGCAATAAAATGGCAATGATGGGGCAGCCAAGACCTTCCCACGTGCTGCCCGATCCAGTGCTCGCCCTCTCGCCTTCTGCTCGGCCTGGATTCCCCCTTTTGTCTCCGCCCAGGAGCTCCTAAATCAGAAACCCCCTGGTTTGACTCTTGCCACTTTGGGAAGCGCAGTCAGTGGTGCTCCGGCAGGCCACTCTGAGCCTTGTTTCTGTCTCCTGCCGGCGTCTAAGCTTGAGGACAGTGGCTGAACGTTGTGGGACTCTTTGTGAGGTGGTCAGAAAACAGCTGGGCTTCACTCGCTCTCTGAATCCCAGTGGGACTGGAAGCATGTCCAGTGTGGCTGGTGGGAAATGCGGGGACGGCAGGACCTATTTCTGTCTCAGGCGGCGTCGTATGGTGCCCCGAACTGCAGCAGGGGAGTTTCCAGTGTGCCTGAGAACGGGGCTGACGGCCCTCCGCAGCCCCTCACTCACTGGCCTTTGTCCTCTTCTTTCGTAGCTCAATCGCCCGGCGGTGTCATACGAGCCCCTCAACGAAATCCAGGTGGCGGAGATCAACTCTCAGGTCCGTCGGTTCCTTGACGGAACGATAGACGAGCTTGATGTGAGTGGGCCGCTTGGGGAGATGGGAAGGCCCACGGTCGTGCGGCTTTGCCCGCATGTGCAAGTGACAGAACCAAGGCAGCATTATACGGCTGAGCATTCAAGGAGCCACCACGTGACTTCTGGCCACTGTGGGATTAGAGGCACAGGCAGTGACCCACAGGTGGGGGCGTGAGATGCGCCGCTGGTTCCCGTTGTCCAGCCAGAAGGGTATAAGCCCCCTGTCCTTTTGTCACCCCTTCACTGCACCCTGGCGTACGTGCGAAGCATCGGCCGGGGCACCTCAATTCATTGCCGCTCCCCTGACCAGCCTGCGCTCCCTCTGTTTCAACCTGTCCGTCCAGGTTCTGAGCCTCAGGCAACTCCACGAAGTGTTTAACCAGTTCAAAATGATTTTGAGGTAAGCCCTTGCGTGCACCGTGTGGCTGAGGTCCGTGCTTGGCAACCCTTCCTTAGCATTTTGCAGGTGGCGGATGCCTCGCGAGAAGCCCCCATACGGTGCTGCTTTCTTCTCAAATGCCAGCGTGCTTCACGGATCTTCTGGTGTGACTGTCATCCCCAGAAAGTCTCTCCCTAGAACGGGGCCAAGCTTGGCCCGGGCGGGGGCCGGGGGGGGTCCTTCCCAGGCTGTGCTCCCTCCCTGCTAGGACAGGAATCTTGGCTGTTATCTCAGAGAGAACGAACAGCAAAGGCTTCCCTGGGTGCAGAGCTGGCAAGCCTCAGCTGGGATCGTGCGTGCACAGAGAGGCAATACCCGCCTCTGCTGGTACCTCGCGGCACACCTGGGCCATGTGCTTTCTTTTTTAGCAAACTCTCTCCAAAAATGCCTTGCAGTGCCTTGTTTTTCTGCAAATTCAAACCAGAAGAGCTGCTGCTTTGTTGCCGCCCCCGCAAACTCTCGACATGCGGTATTCCCAAGGCGGAAGCCGTTAAGGGACGCTCGAGCCCCATCGAGGCCCACGGGGATGCGGCTCAGGTGAGCGGGGCCGTGTGAGCAGGAGCAGAGCCAGCGGGTGCTCGTCTCTCTCCCTTCAGCCAGCAAGAGCAGGAGACGGAGGCCAGGCTGCGGAACAAATATACCCTGATAGACAAGAGCGACTTTGCAACCCTGTCTGCTGCACAGAAGGTGGGTAGAACCTGCAGGAGAGGCTGAGGCGCAGCCCCAGAGCCGCCCAGCGTCCCAGCCACTCTCTGCTGTGATCAGGCAGGGCTTGTCGATGCAGAGGGTCACCTGGTCGGGGAAGTCGATGGACACGGGTTCGGCATCGGGGTCGCGCCATTCTCGGCGAAGCCCGGAGGGAAGAAAGTGAAAGCCAAGAGAGGCAGGGAGCTGCTCAGGTGGGTCCGTGCTCTGCGCTCGAGGCCTCTCCCGGCAGGCGTGTCTGCGCTTTCAAGGGGTGCTCTCCCTTCGGGAGTTGGAGGCGTCTTGTGTCTGCGGGTTCGGTGTGGTTTCTGCTTTGGCTGGGAGGTGGTGCCGGGAGTGCCTGAGCACGCCCAAGAAGCAGCACATTACCCACAATTCCCACACCCGCTCCGCTTTGGTCAAGGAGGCACGGCCTGGTCCTTCTGGCCTTGGACTCCAGAACATCCACATTCTGCTTCTGGTGCTTCTCTCCCTCTCCGCCTCCCATCGTGAAGCCTCCTTTTGATTACTCCTTGCTTGCTTTTTGTAATGCCAGGGTTACAGTTTGGGCGGGAGCGGAGCAAGAGGGCAACCCGTAGCCGCTCGCCCACAACGGTCCCCGGGCTTCCTCCTCAGCTCGCTGGGAGCCACACGCTTCCTTGCTCTCCTGGGCTCGCACTTCCCAGCAAGCCTTGCAGCAGGAAGCAGGGCACGCATGCTGGCCGACTGGCCCCAGAAAGCCAGCACTTCCCTGAGGAACCCGGAGCTGCCCTCGGCCACGCTGCTGGGGCACATGAGCTCTGACGCTCGGGGTCACTGTGGAGGAAGTCCTGGGGACTTCGCCATGGAAGGGGAAGTGGGGAACTAAGACCGGCCTGGCACCGCTTTTGATGGCGCTGCGGCTGTTGGCTCGTCGGTTAGTGAGTCCGGCGTACAACTCCTGGGCTGTGCACCATCCTAGCTTTCTGACCTTTTCCAGAGAGGTGGCATTTTAGCCTTGCTGCGGCAGCAAGCTTGGCGGTTGCAGTCGGCACCTGTCAGAGCAACCCATTTGCTCTGCGGCCCCGCCGGGCTCTCTGCACAGGGCGCCAGGGAAGCCACTGACACCTTCACCGCTTGCCCAGGGCAGGGGATCAGAGCCCGGCCGTGCGCACAGTGGGGTGAGCCCTCCAGGGATGGCAGCCACCCACCGTCCTCGCAGAACGTGGCCATTGTTGATCTGGGTGCAAACAGGCTGCCCAGCCCACTGTGCTAATCCCAGGACTTGCCCGTGGCCAGCTTTGGGGGAGCCTCTAAGCAGCACCCCCAGATTTCTCTGACTGGGTCCGTGGCCTAGTTTCTGACGGGCCGAGTGTCCGTTGTCACCCCTCCCCGAAGCTTGCTCTGAGCCCCAGACCCCGCCATGAGACAGCCCTCCGTTCGCTTTCCAGCCCAACCACACGGAAGGAAGGCCTGGCAAGCCCCGTGTCTGTGAAGGACCTGGACACCGTCTCGCTGTCACGCAGCCAGGTGGTGGCAGCCTCCAAGGACCAGGACGTGAAGGATCAGGACGCCCTCAGCCTCGAGACGCATCGCACCGAATCTGTGCAGAAGGAGGACTCCAGCACCAGGCCCAGGTAGCTGTTCCGTGTGTCTTTGTGGCGTTGGAGGGGGCCGAAGGTGCTGGGCCCAGTCAGGTGCCCTCGAGGGGGCATTACCTGCCATCCCCCTGGAAGTGGGCAAAGCTGCCTGTTTCTCCTGTTTAGATTTGTTTAACTTGAGATTCTTTTAATATCTGAAGTTCCCTTTCCCTCACAAACACAAAGACCTTTGCAAGCCTTGGTACCATCTTACTAAAAACAACCAAACGGAAGAAACTGCCCGGCCAAGTCCAGTGGGCACAGCTGCTCCCAGCACGGAGGTGACCGCAGTGTGTGGCCATTACAGATAAGGAGCTGCTCTCGGCCTGGATTGAGCACTCAGATAGTTGCATAAGCACTCGAAGCCCTGGGCCCAGACGTGCCCATCTGCCAGGTTCCCTGGCTCATGTGCCCGTTTATTTAATTTAATTGGACCCCCCCCCCATTTTCCAGTTCGAATAGAGCTCAGCGAATATTCATGGGATGGGTCTGCAGTGCGGATGCTGCCCTCTTTCCTCTGAGCACAGAGAGTCATTCGTCCGAATGGCTCCAAGGGAGACTCTCTGGCTGCCCCATTTGCCCCAGTGACCTGACTCCACCGCGCGTCTTTCCCGAGCAGTTCCCCACCAGCCAGGGAACAAGCCTTTGAGGACTTCAAGAACGAGCGCGGAAGCGAGATCAACCGAATCTTTAGGGAGAACAAAACCATTCTGAACGACCGCAAGAAAAAAGTGACGGAGGTGGCCCAGAGGATTAACCAGCTCAAGCAGGCGATGGATGTCACCCGGCAGGCACTGGAGGCCCAGAAGGCTGAGCGGGAGCAGCAGGGTGAGCGGGCGGCCGGGCGGGCGGGAGGGGGCGAGTGCCGGCCAGTGCGGCTTCGTCCCTCCGGGTGGCACTGCCAGTCTGCGTGCTGGGATGTGTGGCTGGCTGGCTGGCCCAGAGTGGGCCTCGCTGGCAGGGTCGCATGCCGGGCCCGAGAGGATGCCAGGGGGCCCCTCCTGGCCACCCCCGCTGCAAGCGGGCCTCGGCGCCTCGTGGAGGGTGGGGACAGGAGCAGGGAGGCAACTGCCACCAGGCTGCCATCAGCCGCGATGGGATGGGGCTGCCACGTCGTGACCAGGCCAGCAAAAGAGCCGGCTTTGCACGTCATGCTAAGCCATGATGTGGGTTGTTCAGAGCTGGCTTCCTGTGTCCAAGTTTGTCCCTGTAAACAACCCACGGTTCCGTAACCAGCTAGAAACATAAGTAGAAGTCACGGTTTGTACTCGGCTGGCAGAGCCTGGCTTATCTAAACTACAGTTTGTCACGATGTCTGAACAGCGAAGCGTGGCTTATCTTTGGCTTCTTGGCTCCGCTCTTGCCCTGAAGCATAGGTGCCCAGCAAAAGCAGCCTAGAAATGAAACTAATGGAAGATTGGGCAGGAGGGAAACCTGAGATAGGGAAAGCAGGCTGAGGTTGGTTTGCTGGCCTGCAGGGCAGGTTATGGCCGGAGCAACCAGCCATGGTTAACACGGACCACGGACCAAAAGCAGCAATGCCCATCATGAAGCCCCAGTCACCTCCAGCTGGAAATATTCTTTCATCCACGGATTTGTCCCTAAAGCACGGCTCCTCTCTTGCGCCCTGCAGGGGAGTACCTGAGCGATGAAGGACAAATCATCATAGACGAAGAAGAGTTCCTGCTGCTCATGAAGCTGAAGGATCTGAAGAAGCAGTACCGGGTGGATTACAACGGCCTGCGGGATCTCCGGGCCGAGGTCCAGTACTGCCAGCACCTGGTGGATCAGTGCCGCAACAGGCTGGTCGCAGGTACTGCCACGGCGCGCCTGTCAAGGGCCTCGCTCCGGCCCTGTCTGGGCGCAGGCCAGAGCAACCTGCCTGAGGCTGGCCCGGGCCTTGCACGCGTGCGGGAAGATGCACGCCGGGAGGGGTCGCAGGGCTGCCTCACAGCAGCACAAAGAAAGGGCACGGCCCGGACGGTAAAGCGAGCAGCGTGGGGCAGAGCTTAAATGGGCAGCCCCTTTTTGGGAGGCGGCACGGGTAGCCGAAGCAGTCAAAGTCCTCTGAGACCCCGGAGGGCAAGACTGTGGGTGGCAGCACGACCAGAATCGCAGGAGCACTGAGTTCTTTGCTGGGTACGACCAGGCAGAATGACACTGGTCGCTCAAACGCGGGCCGAACGTTCGAATAACCCCTCGCTGGAAAGAGGCACGTGTTGCAGAAGCGCCGGTGGCTGAAGGAAGCGGCTCTGTCACCGAGGGTCTCGAAGGGTCCAGCGGGGGATACGGGACCTGTTCAGTGCAGGGCTGCAGAAACAGGGAGGCGCCCGTCCCCTGCCCCCGGGCTGCATTGCGGTCCTCGGCGACTCATCTGGGGTGGCCCATTCTCCTCTGGACCCCTGAGCCCCAGATAGGGCTCGCAGGCCCCGGACACATCTTCCTCTGCCCCCTGACCCGTCCCAGACCTGCAGCAGCCTCCTTGGCCCCCGGCAGCCCCCCGTCTGCCTCCTGGGGGAGCGGAGCTGTCTTGCGGAGGCTGTGCTGTGGCCCAGCTCTCGACGAAAGGATCTGTCTGCCACCAGGTGGAGTGCTCTTGCGCCGGGTGCTCCAGCAGCCCTGCAGCGTGCCCCGTAGCTTTGGGGGTGCAAGAGCGCCCTGGACTATTTCCCCGCATCCTTGTGCTGGCACTGCAGGAAGGGGAATGGGCTCTGTGTACGGCCTACTCCTTGCAGAAGGAGGTGGGGTAGATCAGGAATGCCTCGGCCGTGGGGAAGACCAGGCAGCCTCTTCGAAGCCACGGGGTCTCCAGCAGGTCGGAATATTCGTGGGGAGGCAGGAAGGTTTTCCTGCTTTGACTCCAGGGAGACCCAAGAGCAGGGTGGCTAAGGAAGCCGCCTGCCAGTGGTCAGCATGAGCCTTTGCTTCAGAGTCGCAGGGCGTGGCCTGCTCGGGGGGGTGGGGTCTCTGTGGACGGCTGGGCTGCAGGCTTTCCCTTAGCAGGGGCAGGGGGAGGCCTAGCCCTGCAGCGCACGGAGGCCCGTCCCTCTCCTTTCGCTTTCCAGAATTTGAAATCTGGTACAACGAGTCCTTCCTCATCCCGGAGGAGGTCCAGGAGGCCCTGCGGCCCGGAGGGGCCATCCGACTTGGCATGATCCCAATCAACCGGGTCCTGACGCTGGTAAGCGAGGCCAGCAGGGCGCAGGGTTGAGTGAGTCTCAGCAGGAAGATCAGGCCGCATTCCTGGATCAGCCGATGGCACCCCGGGGGGGCCTGCCACGTGATCGCGGCCCGGGAGAATCCCCACCTGCCCTGCCGGGCTCCCCGTGGCTTTCCCTGTTCGGGGGCACAAAGGAGGGTGCCAGGACGGTGGCAGCAGCAACCAGGGAGACGAGCTCCGCTCCTCCTGCAGCGATTCTGCCTGAGGCCGTGGTGCTGGGAGCTCGAGGGCTGGGGGGGGGGTGCTGGTGCTGAGGGCACGGCTCCCGTGTGAACTCTGGGTGCACGTCCCCAGTGTTCAGTGGCGGCGGCAGAGCGTGGCGTGGAATGCCCCTTCGTTGCGTCCGGACGATCCAGCAGGCCTGCAGCCCCTGCCTGTTATGGAAGCCCCGCGTCTGCAGCGAGGGCACGGAGGGCCTCGTGGGCCCCAGGCAGAGCCTTGCCGTCCTGCACCCACCGGCTTTCCCTCGGCACCGCCTGCCCCGGCCATGTGGGGTTCCCGGAGCCAGGGCCCTGCAGCTGCCCGGCAGGCAGCCCTCCCGACAGCACTGTCTGCCTGGCCCAAGTGGCAGCCCGGCCCCCAGAGGCCTGCGGTCCCTGCCGTCACCCGGACCCTCCTGCAGAAGGGAGCTGTGCAAGGTGGAGTCGCCCCACAGCGCTCGCTCGGGCTGCCTGCAGCCTCACGCTCTGGTGGAAGAGCAGGCACGCTGGGAACGGAGACTTGTGGCTGCAGCCCCAGGTGGTTCATCCCGTCCCCGATGTTTGGCGTCTCTTGGGATTTCTGTGCACGCGCACGCACACTCACTGTGAACAGCTGTGTGGAGTATAGTGTAGCAAGGCCTCTTCCTTGCAGCCCCCTCCCTCCTCTTCTCCAGCACATCCTGGGCTGAAAATCCAGCCTCTCCCCAGCGTGTCTTGGTGGGGCCCTTTTCCAAGTCCAGCAGTGAGGACTTCTGGGTCCCTGCCCTGTCTGTACGGCGTGTTTCTGCCCCACAGCGCACCCTCAGCTGAGACCGAGGCCCCGAAGGGGCTTGGCTTGCCTGCCGCGGTTTGCTTCCCGTCATCCAGTAGGACTCGAATTGCACCGCCTGTCTCCTTTCCCTGCCCTTTCTTTCTCGGCACCCACCCGGCTCTGGTGCCCTTTTCTTCCTGCCAGGAGGAAGACGAACAGGAGAGGTTTGACCGGATGCAGCAGGAAGTCCTGCCGTTCTGCCCCGCTTCTGTCTCCTTCTACAATGCCAAAGCAAAGGTTGACCGTAAGGTAGGGCAAAGCCGCCCGCCCGTGGCTGTAGGCCGCTGCCGAGCGTTCCTCTGGCCCGGGAAGTGCCGTGCTCCGCTAACGCCATAACAGACTGAATGGTTGGTCTTCCGGGAACAGGGACACAAAGTCGATAGTGGACCCTGTCAGGGTTTCAAAGATGTGCGTGGTTTTGCAAAGCTCTTCATCAGGCCTTCAGAGCACGGAAGGCGGAATGGTCCCCTGCATATTCATTTTGATCATTACTGTCTTGTTTCTACACTGCTAAAGCTCTCAGAGTGGGCCACAACAATGTGTAAACGCAGCTAGATAATCTCAACTACTCCACCTTCTCAGCCTTCTAAACTACAGCCTGGGAGTAATAATTTTGACTCACCTTGTCAGGTGGTTGTGTAAATTGCCAAAGCAATGCATCTGGAGGACTTTGAGCACACTCCATGGCTCCATAATCTATTTTTTAAATTAATTTGTGTTTTTACAATCAATTTTAGAGGTTTGTCAGTCTTGTTTCTGCGGCCATGAGGTTACGTTGGCAGCGCGTCAGAATTCAAAGATGGGGAGTTGTTAGCTCTCAGGCGACATCACCGTGCGATGTTAAGTTAACCGTCTGGTTGTCCTTCGCTCGCCTCCATCTGTGTCAGTCCAGCCTCCTCTAGGCTTCCCGCAGGGCAGGGGAAGGGTGGCCATGCCCCACTCCTTCCCAGGGCCAGCCTGGCATGGCGAGGGCTTCTCCTCGTTTGCCCAAAAAATGGCCCATTAACGTGGCAGGTTCTTTGCATGAGAACATGCGATTCTGCCAAATGTAACTTGGCAAATTAAGGAGCAGCCATTCATTCTACCTGCAGGAAGGAGTCGAGCTTGGATCTCAGATTCACTCACAAGAGCGTATTCTGCACTGCTGTACTCCGAATACTCATTTTTTCCTGGTAGAGTCATGACGGCTAGATTTATGCAGCGGTCAGTCAAGACGCATTCCCTGGGCAGCTTACAAACCAAGGAACAGACCACAGTATTAAAATATAAGATAATAAACCTCACAAGGCACAAAACACTGTGTTGGAAAATAACCTCACATGTAGAGGAAAATACGAGCAGTTCATAAATAGAGCCGCTTACACAGTGAGAGCCCAGGCTGTGTAGGTTTAAGATGCTGTAGTTGTGGAAGGCCTGGGGTAAAGGAAAAGACCTGCCTTGGCAAAGATCTTGGAGTGGCTGGAACCATCCTGTGGCACTTCAGAGTTCACATGTCTTTAAAGGATTGGATAGCCCAGCTGCGGAAGACCTTCCTTTAAAAGGGACTCCAAAGTTAGGAATTGGGGAAAGTTCAGATTCTCAAAAACGATGGGAAGAAAATACAAGGAGCAGCCAAACCTAGCTGAGTGGGAATCTTGATTACTGAACCACACACCAGAAATGACTCTGAAGGTCGCAGTACTAACCCCACACCGTTTTAGACTCCCCCCCCACCCCCCCACCCCCCGCTTCTACGGCCACGAGGCCTCAATCTTACTGATTCAGAATTTTGAAAAGCCAGCTCTGAAAGGCACGGTTTCGCAAGGCCTTCTTTTCCCTGGGTGTCCTTCCCCAAGAACCTCAAGAAAGCGCACCCTCTTAGCAGCCTCCTGAAGAGTGAGTGGGCTTCTTAAAAAGTACACGGAATAACTTTGCTCTCCCTTTCCATTCAAAGCACAAGTACTCCCGAGCCTTGACTGCCCTGGAGCAAATGAGGAAGAAGCCCAGCTCTGTCCAAGCTGCCGTGAAGAACAAGCCCCCGTCAGTCCTGGACATCATGTAGCAGGGCCACTGCGACGGTTGCCTCGTTTTCTCCTTCCACAAGTGGCATCAAGCGAACAGACGTCAAAATACAAGTCCAAAAAGCGCCCCTTTTCAGGATAGGTAGCATCTTAACTCTCTGGAGGAGGTTGAGAATTATTACATTAAAAATCAAACCTTGTTTCACCAAAAGGGATTAAAAGCAAGTGCTGAGTAAGATAACACACAGGGTCCTGGAGGAGGAGAAAGCGCGCCTTGTGCTCTCGGTTCAGCTGGGAAGAAAGGCCAGTTTATATAAAGGGGAAGGAAAGGATCTCAGGCTTAACCAAGGAACGGGAAACCATGTGGCCCTGCAGGTATTGTTGAATTACAATGTCCATCCTCCCTGATTTGGACACTGACTGGGGTTGATGGGGATCATGGCAATCGATGGCATTTGAAGGGCCCCCTCCGCTTTTTCTCCTCCGAAAAAGCAGAGAAGATTTGTAAGGTGCGCTCGGGGGTGTGAGTGCTGATCTTTGCGGTTTTAAAGGAAGCTGATAAATGCAGGGCAGATTGGCAGCCGAGGGATGATAGCTCCGGAGAGCCGCTTGCAGCCTTTCCCGTGTGAAGTACATTACATAGAGTTCCCTGGAGTTGGAGGATGGATGGATGGAGCCAACCTGCTGCTTACTCTGTCTAGGTGCTGCCCTCAGCAGGCCCACCAGGCGCTTTGGAGGGGCTGGCTAGGGAAGAGAGGGGAAGGGGTCCTGTCGCTGGAATTCCCAGCCACGGGGCTGCTCTCGTGGTGCTTTCCCTTCCCCCAGGACGCCAATGAAAGCTTGCTTTGGAACGCATCCTCCCTTCCCCGGGACGCCTGTGCCATTTTGATGGAGGGGATTTCTGCCCCCTGCTGCCTGGGGGGTGGGGTCAGCCAGCAGGTCAGTGTCCAGCCAAGGCAGCGTCCTGGGGAGAGAGAGCGATGGACACAAGGCTTCCCCGCCGGATGCTTCTCGACAGCTTGAGCTTGTTGAGTGATGTTGGAAGCGAGGCTTGCTGGAAGGGTGGCCGTCGAGGGTGAGAGAAGACGGGTGCTGTGGCCGGCTGGCCTTGGCGGGGAGGGGGGCACTCCTTGTCCTTGCAGTGGGTGGCCTGCCAAACATTGCCGGACTGCAGCTCCTGTGCTCCTTGACCCCGGGCCGTCCTGGCTGGGGTCGCGAAGGGTGGCCGTCCAGCCCCGAGCTGCCCACTCCGGACCTGAAGGATGGCCGAGAGGAGAGGTCGGCGCAGCGTCTTGCATGGCTGCCGCTCTGTGAGGGCCGGGGTGGCTCGGTCCAGCTGCTCTCTTGCGTCCGGGTTTGATACCTGATCCTGCACGCGCTGAGGCTAGCCAGGAACCTGGAAGCCATGGCCAGCAACCTGAAGGGCTTGCTGCCGGACGGAGCTGCCACTCCTGCTGCTCGCCCCCTCAGCTTACGTCCCTGGTGGTGGCAAACTGTCCCTGCCAGAACCCCACTCATCTCACCCTTGGGGCCACCCCAGTGCCAAAGCGGCCGGGGCGTCGGTGCGGCTTTCTGTAAAGAGGGGACTCTGATCAGCAAGCGGGGAGGAAATTCCTCTCCACCAGAGAGAGGAGCCGGACCAGATTCCATGGAGCCTTCTGGCCGTTCAGTAAGGAGTTTGGAGGGCCGCGGGGAAAAGCGGGTGGGAAGTCTCAGCAGTGCCGGTCCGGACGGGAGATGGAAGCAGGACCAGCGGACGGCGATGCAGCGCTCGGTGGCTCAGGCCGGTTCCCTGAGAACAGGGTTGGTGCCCAGCGGCGGTGTAGAGCTGGGGAGCCGTGCTTTGCTGCCCGGGCTCTGCAGGCCTCCTCGTAGGCTTGGCCATGAGAACCAGACAGGGCTTTCATGCAAGCTGAAACCACTCTTGGGGTTCTTTCCCTGTCTGCTCAGATTCCCTGGAATTGGGGGATGGCAGTCTTGCAAAAGCATCAGGGACCCCACATTCCCCTACCTGTGAAGGCCCCCCCCATGCAGCTCTGCCCCACCCACCCAAAGCGTCCCTGCTTTCTTTCATGGTTCCTCTTGCTGCAGCTTCCGCCTGGAAGCCCCTCCTGGAATGCTGCTTGGGAAGAGATCAACCTTTCCCCTACGTTATTCTGGAAGGGGCCAGGTAGATGGATGACATGATTCACGGCAAGGTACAGTGAAAGACCCACCGGGGCCCTTGCAAAGGGACCCTCCATGAGCTTATTTCTCTGGGTGACGGCAAGGAAGGTGCGGAGGGGGGAACGGCGTTGAATCCCGGTGAGGCACAGCACTTTGCTCGTGCGTGACAGGACAGGACTGACTTCTTGGGGACCCGGCAAGGGATGGAGGCACCGAGCAGAGGAGAGTCTTGCTTTCCTGGCCGCTCACCTGCCTTGTTCCTGTGTACATGCCTGTGTTCTGCTCAGGCGTTCAGTCATGTCCAACTAGAAGCGATCCTGCGGGCCATATTTATTTATTTAAAACATTTCTATGCCGCCCCCATCGCAACAAAGCCTCAGGGCGGCTCATATCTGCCAAACTTTCCGACCCCGTGCCACCTTTCAGCTGAACGATGCTCCGGCCCGCATCTTCTTTGACAGAGTCCCACCACCTCGCTCTTGGGCAACCTGGTTTTCTCTCGCCACGGAGCATTCCAAGCACGCCACCTTTTTCTAACGAGCTCGATTGCGTCACGTGGCCAGAATGCGCGAGTCTCAGCTTCGTTCTCTTGCCGACCCGGGAGGCGTCTGGTTTGATACGCTCCGGCACCTGCTTGTTCGTCACCCACACTGTCCGTGGAACGCGCGGCAGCCTCCGCCAACACCGCAGCTCGAGGGAGTCCGTTTCCCTCTTGTCTAGCTTTTTCACTGTCTGACTTCCACAGCCACAGGTTGCTATAGGAAAAATGGTCACTCGTTCCAATCTACACTTCGCTGCCGAGCTCATGTCCGTGTTTTCCCGCACACGATGCATGCTTGTCATTGCCTTACGGCCTAGAATCATACCATCAGGGAAGAGTCGAGTTGGGGGGGCCATGAAGGCCATCCCGTCCACCCCCTGCTGTTGCAGGACACCAAGTTATACCATCCCTCCCAGAGGGCTGCCCAGTTCCTTTCGAATGTCCCCAGTGTGGGAGAGCCACCACCTCTGCGGGCAGCCGGTTCCACTGTCGTCTTGCTCTGACAGTGAGGAAGCTGCGAAACTAGTGAGATTGGTCACTTTATTTCTGAACTGCATCACTGCTGCCAATAATCAGTGATCCCAGGAAAGTGAATCTACACATTCAAAGTATGTGACTAGAAGCCTAGAAAACACTCTGTATATGCTCGAAAAGCTTGTGGCTGGTTTGTGCACCTCTGCCCAGCCACTCTGTTGTAGGTTTGTCCCTGCAGCGGGGTTTACTGGGTGTTCTCACCAATAAAACCGCTAAGGTTTTTAACATAGACGTCTCCCTGTGGATCTGAGCATACATTTTCGTGGGCTGCTAATCCGGGATGTCCTGACAGCCATCATCTCACGCGTCAAAGGGAAGGGATATCCTGAGCAAACCAGCACTCCCCATCCTGAAAAGCACGCGGGAAGAGATGCTCTTTCAATTATCTTGGACCACTTTAACACAGGATTGGGAAACTCGTGACCTTCCAGATGCTGTCGAAATGCAGTTTCTACCACCCTAAGCAGAATAATGGGAATTCCAGTCTAGGAACAACAGGACAGCCCTATATTCCCTGTCCTTCCTCTAAACGCTGATGGCTTAAAGCATCCTTCTGCAACGTGGTGCCCCCAGATGCCTTGGGGTGTCACGCATCACGACTCCACCATTAGCCGAGCCACTGACCTCATTTTCCCCATCCCCAGAATTTCCTTTCCCAAGGAAAAATATTGTTCCTTGTCTATCGCGAAACATTTTGCGATCACTTGGCCTGGAGAGGACAACAGGGACCGAAGAACTGCAGAGAGACTCGCTCCCAGTGGAGCTGAATGTTGCTGGAACTGCCTTGCTGATGCAGCCTTTTGGACTCTCCTAAGAGGTACGGCTGTGGGGACTGTCAGGGCAAGCACCCATGTGTCCAAATTCACCCCAAATTCACCCTCACCACTGGGAGAGAACCAAGTTGGTGGAAGATGCTTTAAGGGATGTAAGAGAAGGAAGGGAAGAAGAGGAGAAAGGTGCAAAGGAGGGCAAACAACATTTGGTACCGGTCTCAAACTGTAACCATGGTTCTTGAGGAACAGAGAAACCCCCTTGCTGAATTTGCAGGATGTCTGGAGCGGATGCTTGCTTCGAGGGATGCAGCAGGCGCAGAGACTGCACTGTCGCTCTGGCTGTTTCTCATCAAGAGGAAATTCTTCCTTAACGTAATAAAGGATGGTTCTTGATGGTCACAGCCCACAAAATACGGGTTGGATGGCTTAGCGGCTCTTCACCATCTCTGGTTTCTATAAACTGATTGCTCCTTAGAATTGCCCAAGGGGTATTTCCGTGCAAGGGGATGCTAAATTACATTTCTGCCCCTGCCCCTCTGCATCACAATTTTTATTTGAAATTAAATCCAGAGTTTCGTATTTGTTTCTCCTGCTCAGTTCCAGACACACGGCAGTGGGCGGAAAGCGGGAGGAGGAAGGCTTGTGTCAGGGAAAGGCTCTGATGAGACGCGTCTGTGCCTTCACCCTGACTTCCCAGGCCCGCGGTTGTACACGCACCTGCAGGTTTTAACCTGAACACCTTTCTTCAACAGGCTGCATCTCCCATCATTCCAGGCAGCACAGGTAAATTATACACAAGATCGTAGGTAGGTTTACTTGGAAGTTAGCTGTAAACTAGCAGTGTTTGGATGGAAAACAGTCCCACCGTGTTCCCCATTCCCCACCGGTGTTTCAGACTGTGGCCAGCTGGCCTACACAAGCAGGAGCCGGCCAGCTTTCACGGAGCAGCGCTTGACCAAGAGGGACAGTGCAAAGCGGCGATCCCCTGGGCCTCCGGGTGACCGTTCTGTCCGTGCACAGGGGTGAGGAGGAAGAGCCCCGTGGGTGACTTTCTCCGCTATTGTGGCTGGTGAGGGTCCGGCGCCATTCCTGCCCAGCCTGGCTGCCTGGTTGCCCAGCCGGCAGCCAAACAGTGGAGATGGATCCTAGAAAGGGACTCTCCTGGAAAACGCAGGGGCGGGGGCTCTTCTGCCTTTTGGGGGGGCTTGGGCAAAGCCTCTGCCATGGGTCCCCTCCCTCAGCGACTGCTCCTTACCGCCACCCTCCAGGGCCTCTTCTGCCCCTCCTCGCCCACTTTCTCATCACCGCCGCCATGCCGTGGGCTGGGCTGGAGCGAGGGGCAGGTGAGCAGGCACACCGTGGGAGGAGAAGCAACTTCTTTTGCTTTGGCAGATGCCCCTCCCGCAGTGCGGGCTCCTGGCAAGTGCCCCCCACCCCCACGCCTGTCTTCAGGGCCAACTGTGCTGGGGTGGAACACAGAACAGAGGAGGATACTGACAGGAGTGGAAAAGCCGCCCAAAGAGTCTGCAGGGCTGTGGAATCGAAAGAACACATGCAGTTGATTCAGACGTACAGGAAGTACATGCGGCAAGACGGAGCTTGTACAGGATGCTTCTGTGGCCTCTCAGTTCCATCCAGCCTGCAGGAGGGGTGGGGGATCCCAAGGCAGCTTGCACAGGTTTGTTGTTTCTAGTCGCAAAGTCGTGCCTGACCCATCGCGACCCCATGGACAACATTCCTCCAGGCCCCCCTGTCCTCCACCATCCCCCGGAGTCCACTCAAGCTCACGCCCACTGCTTCAGTGACCCCATCCAGCCACCTCATCCTCTGCCGTCCCCTCCTTCTTTTGCCATCTATTGTTCTCAGCATCAGGCTCTTCTCCAGGGAGTCCTTCCTTCTCATTAGGTGGCCAAAGTATTTGAGTTGCATCCTCAGGATCTGGCCTTCTAAAGAGCAGCCAGGGTTGATCTCCTCTAAGACTGACCGGTTTGATCGCCTTGCGGTCCAAGGGACTTGCAGGAGTCTCCTCCAGCACCACAATTCAAAGGCCTCAATCCTTCGGCGCTCAGCCTTCCTTATGGTCCAACTCTCATAGCAACTGGGAAACCCATAGCCTTGACTTTTGCACGTTAGAATAAAACAGAAGGGATCGACGGGGTTAAGAAAACATAATTCAGGAAGAAGCTGCAGGACAGGTGTGCTTTAGCATCTCTAAGGTGTAGGTGGGGAGCAAGAATTGCAACCTGGATTTCTGTTGCTTATCAGATCAGGAATCCCCTCTTGAGCTTCAAGATGTTCTTCTGTGTTTTAGCAGCCACATTCAGGCAAAGTTTTGGCTCATTTTATCCTGACAATATAAATGCAACACATAAAAAACAGTTTCTGGACATTAGCATTTGAAGATTTCATGGGCCATTTTGTTTGGAAGCTGGTATTATTGTGAATAGCAATGTCCATTTAGAAGCAAATTCAAGCTTCTAGCCCTTCTGTTTGTCCAGATGGAACTTTAAACGTCTCTGGAAAAGTAACTAGCGCTTATGATGACAGAAACCGCTGTGGGTCATGTCACCTATTAAATCTGATCCATCAAATACCTGGAAAAAGCCAGATCTGCTCATTTTGATATAAAATACGTTATCTGAACCCCTGCACAAAGTTGTAAGATCCAGATCCTTTTGGAGTGCAACTCCCATCACCCTGACCACTGGTTGTGCTAGCTGGGGATGATGTGAATTTTAGTCTGTCCACACAGGGGAAACTGTAAGGGTGGAGAAATTTCTCAGTCTCTGGGGGAATTCGAAAGAAGACTCATCTGGCCTATTCATAAGGCGCATTGGGGTGGCTTAAATGCCCAATTTCCTTCCTGCTTTTGTGGGAAGGGCTTCTGGGGTCCCAGTCATAACAAAACATAAAGGATCCAGTTGCAATTGTGCCTTTGGCTGCATTTCCCATCCAGCAGGAACCGCTTCTCCTTTGCATTACAAAGGGCGCTATATAAACAGGCACCTTTCTTTTGTATTCATTGTGCCATCAGAAGGATCCATCCTAATAGTTATCTGCCCCCCCCCCCCCCCAGTCATCCAGGGGGCCTTTCCCCAGACAGGTGCCCTCCAGAAAGGTTGAACTGCAATGGCCACGCTGGCTGGGAGTGATGGGTGTTCCAGTCCAATTCATCTGGAGGGCACATGGTTGAAAGGGAACACAGATGCAGTGAATGGGGAAATCTTTTTGCTCCAAGTCAGATGACTGGCTCATCCACCCCAAATTATCTATTCTGCCCGGCAGAAATTTTGCAGGAAGATTTCACCCTCTGTTGCTGCAATGTGCCATCAACTCTTCTCTGACTCAGGAGTCAATCCATCTCTTTTTGGTCTTCTGCCTTCGACTTGCTCTAGCACCACGATCTTCTCCAACAGATCTTGCCTTCTCATGATGTCCCCAAAGTACGACAGCCTCAGTTTTGTCGTTGTTGCTTCCAGAGAAAGCTCTGGTTTGATTTGCGGTAGGATCCACTTCTCCATCTTTCTGCTGGTCCAGGGTATTTGCCAAGCTCTCCTCCAACTCCATGTTTCGAACCCATCCATTTTGCCCCTGCCCGTTTTCTTACCTGCCCAGGTCCCTACCCA